TGATGCGCGCGTGCGAATAAAAAAAAAAGTTTTGCAAAAAAAAGTTGCTTTCACTATGAAATCTAGCTACGTGGTCATGAAGGTTGAACAAATGGCACAGAATATGTTATGGCGAATAATCTACTCTTCGAATTCATTTCTTTACATTTTTGTCTTTTTTCCTTTGATTTTGGCATTCTACGACATTGGTATCGTTTCTAAATGTTTTCCTTGCAACTTATGGTATATTTTTGCTCATTTAATTAGCAACTGTTTTGCACGATTTACAGTATGGTTTTTTTTTTGGAAACGGCCGAAAATTCATGCGCGCGCGGATGTCATCCATATAATCAAATCAACATTGCCTTACTTAGAGATATGCTTTTGATACACAGTAACGAAATGTCAAGCCATAAAAGAATGCCTCATAGCAACTACCAATCCTGTTTAATTACAGTTTACCGCACGGTATGTCTAACGTTACAGATCTATACACCATGAAAACTGCACACATTGAATGTCCAAACAGGGTGTACACGTACGCACACGTGCCATCCAAGGTAGACGTACATTTAATGAAATCGATTCACAGACACGTATGGAACAAATTAGTTTGTGGAAACAAACAATGTCTAAAGATAAAAGCTTTAGTAGTCCATCTCTTATAGTCCGTGTTATCTGTTCCCCTATCAAAGATTTCCTATGTATACTATCAAGTGAATTGGTATATTTCAAGAATGTCACCAGGGAAAGTAAAGCATTCTGAAGAACTGTATAATTTAGACAGGTCGATCTATAAAACAACTACACGCCTAAATTAAAGCAAAGGGAATCAAAATGACACATACAACTTTTAAGAATCACTGTATGATGAAATAGACGTTAATAAATCATTAAGTAATTTATCCAAAGCTATCGAACAGAATATGATATTTTTTCGAAACTCATATGAATGAATAAGTTCTCAACATGTACAGGCCAAGAAGAAAGGTTTCTAATGAAGCAAACTGTGGATCAATAAAGCTATCTAATGTTATCTCCCAGTACTTCTGTCCACATTAATTTTTAAGACATGACACACCTTCAACGGCTTACTCGGCGTCTTCTCCGCTGCTTGGGGTTTCAACAGGAGACATCTTCACTGACCCTGGCGATGTTACGAAAGGCACATTCAGACGGCTTGAGTTCAGTTCGTTCCTGGGGTTCTCTGCAAGTCTTCGGCTGGCTGCCCATTTAGTCGGCTGGTCAGTCCGATTGTCTATACTTGGTCCAGCAACAGCGTTCACTACTCGCGCATCTCCCACAATCTTAATGTTGACCACTTGATTCGATGACCATCCCACCTTTTCCCGAACCGTGCTGGCGAGTCGTCGCGCCCTACGATGCACGGCTTCCCGAATCTTCTTGATCCTGAGCGCGTAGATGACCGGGTTGACCACCGAATTGCAGAGTGCGATCAGCAACCCCCAGTTTGGCTTTGATTTTACCTCACAGTCTTGTCTCGCAAAGCACATTAACTGCCGCACACCCCCGATGCAAATCGGCAGCCAGAAGACGACGAACACTGCTGCAATGATGATAACGGTCACCTGCATCTTCAAACTGTTTTTCAGTTGCTGGTATTGTCTGGCGGCGACTCGCTGTTCCCTGCGGCGTGCGGCGGGCAGGTTGTCTTGCGGGTTCTCGGGGGGCTTGGTTCTGGAGAAGCGCTGCTTCAGTTCGAAGAAGATTCTTGCGTTGACGAAGACCACTACCACCACGGCCATCAGCAAGATGACGTTGAAAAGAATCAGGTAACTTACGGGCAGGTGATTTATGCAGGACTCTGTGTTCATATTATGGCAGTTCCAGCCCATGAGAGGAGACAGACATACGAACACACAGGCTGGCCACGCGATCCCCAAACTCACGGCAACGTGTCGCCCAGACATGCGGGTCTGGTAGAATATCGGGTGGAGGATGGCCAGATAACGGTCCATGGACAGGAGGACCACGCCAACTGCTGATAAGGCCAATACTAAAAAGAAGGTACAGTACAAGCCAACCATTGTCCATGGTCGATACAGTTCCAGTTGGACATGGGCGCAGAAGAAGAACGAGAACAAACCCGCCACGCAGTCCGCCGTAGCCAGGTTGGCCACGAACAGGAACATGGGTTTGGACAGGTGATGGTTTTTCAGCACTCCGGACAGGACCACGACGTTCATGAGGAGAGCGACTGTCCCGACAGTTGCTGAGACGATCCCGACTTTCTTGTTCTCGTCCACATACGGACTGGGGAGATGAAAGCACGCGGCTACAGCCAGGTCGTACTCCACCTTATTTTTCATGTAAGAGGAGAAACACGGCCAGAAAGTCTCGTACGCCGTGGAGTTTCCTCCAGTGAGATTCGCCGTGCTGCCGTTCATTTTGCGTTGTTCACTGAAGACAAATACGTCGATTATGGCAAAAACGCTGATTTGGGGCTTTCTACCGTTTTCGTATAGAACTAGATGACTATATGTTACCTCCGATAATCTGTCGGCCGCGCCTAGTACTACCTACAAACTGGTTAAGCACTGACTTATACAGGTGATTGGTCGTGACGTCAGCGTTACCGTAGTTTCGCGGCCCCTAGCTACCGCTAACGTTGCCATAACATCCCTGCTTGACGATATTATTATTATTTTTTTTTTATTCAGAAACTCAATGAGAATTACAAATGAAAAGACATGGACTAAGTGACTGCGAACTCAAGTTAGGTACAACTTATATTCTCGCAGCCACTTTTACAATAAAAGAAAAATATTTTACAAGACATTTGAAAATACATGAGATCTCGCGTGAGTAACAATCCTCCCATCCCAGAAGACACATACAGTTAGAATCTTTTTGTTTCTAATATATAATCTTGTGCGGCTAACATTATTTTGCAGTTGGTGTCATAGGAACAAAGGAAACTACCGCGAAGAACTAAATATTGTATGGAATTATCAGAAAGGGTGTTTAAATCAACAATATTACCAAGTAAGCTTGAAAGCTTGCCAAAAAGGACTAAGCGCTGGTAGGTGTATATAGGGCAGTGCAATAAATAATGAGCAATCGTTTCATATGGACACCCGCAGCTACAGGATGGACTTGTAACAAGACCTCGGGTATAAAGATTGTGATTCAAGCTGCAGGTGTCCAGACGAAGTCGGGTAATGAGAATACAGGAATTACGAGAACCAAAGCTAAAATAGTTTAACTTTACAGGACGTACCGATTTGAAAAGATTTGAACGAAATTTTGGATACGAAAGAGTACGGATTTCTAAATTCAGGTTGTTCCATCCAGTGATGGAATATGGTATAAAAGACTTTCGAAAACGATTGGTAGAAAATTTGATGGTTCTCAGATTACTACTGTTTCTCAGATTGTAGATAGAAGTAGCAGTAATTGTACATGGAAGTAAATCTGTAAGATATTCCCGAGTACATCCGTTTACAATGTTATGAAATAGTAATAGGCGATGAATGTGTCGCCTTTCGGACAGAGTCTCCCAGCCGAGCTCTTGACAAATTAAAGAATATGAAGACCCTTTTATGGCACCAGACACAACGAGGGAGCAATGATACTGAACTCTTTCTATGAGGTTTGATTCCTCGATTGTGCACCCGTGCCAGACAACGTCAGCATATTCCAACAATGAACGTATGAAAGACTTGTATATTTTTTCCAATACATGGCGGGGTAATCTAAATTTCAAGGCCCTAAATAGGTTAACATTTTTGAAAGCTTTAGAAAGAATACTGTCAATATGAACATGCCAAGACATATTGGAACTAAGAATAATCCCAATATGCTTATGACAGGAAACTGATTTTATTACAGAATTATTAAGAAATAGTGGGGGGTGGGCTTGACGGAATTTTTTAGAAGTAAAACAAATTTCTTCAGTTTTTGTGGGATTTAATTCCATCAGCCACTTAGTAGACCATAAGAAGATTTTTTCCAGGTCCAAATTGAGAGAGACGGAAGCATGAAACGATATTATTTTGATTCATGTTTTTGAAATCTGAAGGACATACATGAATGCCTAATTATAGCAGCTATTCAACCATTTCAATTACAATTTGCCGCACAGGCATGTCTATAGAAAAGCCAATGAAAGCCAAATACGCCACTGTATTATTACTATCATTATTGTTACTATCATATATATATGCTATTGAATATCCAAACGCACTCGTAAGTACTCGTGAGGCTGTGGTGTTGAACAATAACAACATCCAAACTCATCTCAAACAAGAGTTCCACGATCTCATACCTTCGCCAAATGGTGTTAACTCTTGCGGGTGACAAATTATACAATTTTAATCATTTATTTTGTAAATAAGAGCCTCATTTGCATGGATTATATCAGTTGATCATATTCTCCATCCAATGACAGCCTTATCATAACAAAAAGGCTATTATAGCACTTCCTCATAAATTATGCAAATGAGGTCATGATTTGAATAAATTATGTTTATTGATCTTCACTTCACTTTACTTAACTTCCAAATGTGGCAAGTATGAAATTGGGTGCAGCAGTGACAACTATGGAATTATAAGAATTTGCCATTAATTATGCAAATTAGGTTCTCATTTACATAATCTATATCCTCAGATGTTTTTCTCGTTCTCAAGTAGATGTCACAAGTGTTTAATAGTTCTATTATCGAACAAAGCAGATTTATAGAATTTCCTCATTAATTATGCAAATTAGCTCCTGATTTGCATAATTGCCATCTGATTATGTCAAGCATCACTTCAACTACATACATGCCAAAAATCATGACAATACGTCAACCGGATCTTGAGTTATCGTCCTTCAAATTTTTTTCAACAAATGCTCCTGCAGTTCCAGAACAAGGCGCTAGAGGACCCAATCTCATGTCACTTCTTCCCCACCCCCAAAGCTATCTACCAACCAAAATTCGTGACCCTAGCATGTCCAGAACATGAGATATCAAAACCGGAAGTTCAGCTGCAGTACCTAGGAAAGCCGCCAGGGGGCCCAAAATCTAATCATTTCTAGGTCTCATGAAGACCTACCCACCTACCAAGTTTCATTCCAATCCATCCACTGCTTCTCGAGTTATCTTGCTAAATTACACACACACACACACACACACACAGACAAACGCTACTGAAAACATAACCTTCTTGGCGAAGGTAAATATCCGTTGCTTTCAAGTCACGATTTACCGTACGCTTTCCATGTCTATGGAAATGTATCTGTAAACAGTAGGATGCCAATAAAGTCTCCACAGGACGCACAGGTTCCATCCGGCCACGGCAGGTGCGAACAGTCAGGCCCCTCCCAGGAGGCCAATCACACGGGTAGACCGCTCGGAGCGCGAGTTAATCATAGGCTGATTGTCAGCCTTGTTAGCTTTAGACCGCTCCCCAAGATCCGCTCACCGCCAAGCATTAAGACTGAGGATTGTTTTATTTCCTTGATATTTTACTTTGCCTAGTCGCTGTTGTTCCAAATGTTATGCATATTTTTCCAGATCACAGGTTCCATCCACCGCGAAGGACGAGGTACGGAAACAAACATCGAACCTAAAAGTCTGCCACTAATAATAAAAAAGAACAACAGATCGCTAAATGTGCACCTCCGCGTGTCTGTATGTCCGCAGTGATTTACATACACTAGTCTCATGTGGTCATGGTAGTCACGTCTGAAACGCGACAAAACAAGAAATTTGCACGATATCTAGATATTTCACGGCGGTATGAGATCTTCGACTTGATTTGTTTGGATAGAATTATGTCAAACCGCGACATGGGGAAGTGCACTGCTGATAAAGAGTGATGAAAGGGTTTTGAGGGTTGGTAGCTAGATGACTACCTCCGAATCTGTCGACTGCCTGCCAACTGTAGCTGGCTGCACTGAATACATGTATAAGATTTCTTCGTTATTCTATGTCAGTGTTTAGGTTAGCACAGTTACACTTCCGGTAGGGCTGAACTCCTGTTGAATTGCAAAATAGAAACCTGTTCTTGGTGTTATCTTGTTAAGATAGAATTGCTATATATTGCATAAAAGTAGCAGGCACAAAACATCACTTGAAGCACGGTACCAATTTTATGAATATATGAGTTTATTCACTGTAAAACCGACTGGGAAATACCAAAAGAAGCAGACTACTTAGAGTGCAAATCATACTTGAGCATGACTGACTTATACATGTGACTTTTACCTAGTTACATGAAATTATTTGGCAACATCATTCTAAACATGTCTGTCTCAATAGCACTGTAAAAACATTACCTATTCTTTCTACAGCACTCTACAAATATAATGCACATATGCAATAATTTGCAAACAAGGACACTATTTTTCCTTAAGATATGCAAATTCCATAGTAGGATTAGGTTAAAATTGTCGACATATTGCTATTTGACAGTTTACTGCTCTTGGGAAAATCATTAGGAAGAATTCAACTAGCCAGACTCCAAAACTTGAAACCTTTTCAAAACAACATCAGTATCCACTTGGTCCTGCTACAAAACCACACTCTCTACATCTGAAAACAGCTCCACACTGCAAATACCAAGAGAACTGCAGCCACAGCAAGTGATTCTCATGGTTGGAAACAGAAGCAGACTTACAGCAAAAGATAGCTTAACAGTAAGACCGGGCACAACTGTGTTTGTATGGTACTAATGCTGGCCAGGTAGAACGTTTGTGTTCCTTGGAAACTTACACACAGCAGGTAGCCTTTTGAAACCTCCATTTGACTTGTGGCACCCTACCTCCTACATGTAGTTAGACTGATGTTAATGCTTTCATATAAAAACTGGTCTTTCGCATGTGGCATCAAATGCCAAATGATGTTTGGTTCTTGCCCCGACAGATCTGACACACAGTTCCATCCCAAAGTGACTCTTGAAAAAGGGCAGCCATTTCCAGTATATATCTGATGGGAATAACACACACTATAACAGCCAGTCATTCTTCAATTTGTAACAGTTAACATTCATGTTTACGTACGTGATCTGTGAACATTCCAGCGAACATCTGGCTCTACCCAAGGTGTTACCAAAAAGCTGCAAGTTAATATGTCCACTGTCATAAAATTCTTTGGTCTCATGAAAGAAAGGAATGTTTGTGTAGCTGTGTGGTACAATTTAAGCCAGCATGATCAACTTGAGATACCGACTGGTCCAGTACCGTTTAACCCTTGTTCTTTGTTGTATGTATTAATTAACATTACTGACCTTCAGTCAACGAAAAAAATCAGGAAGGAATAATAATATTATACTCTAGTGCTTGTTACGTCTTTCACTATATTTTGCATATGGGGGGGGGGGTATGGGCATGCTGCAAAGGGCATGATAACATAGCCTACATAAGATAGCACCTAATTTTGTACAAATTCCCTCTGTATTATTGTAAATTTAAAGGTGCCCCCTTCCCTGCTATTTGTCTACATCAGGTATATATGATTCATATAATATTCAGCCTACATTAACCAAATCATTCAAGCCCTTGTTTTAACATCTGCTGAAGTTTTTGATATGGCCAAATACAAGAAAACCAACATGCCTCACTTGTATCTTGCAACATAACAACTAGGTATGCCTTTGTGGCACAGGTCGGTTTTTACCTTGACTAAAATTTATTGATTCTTTTTTTTCTTTTACGATTTTGGCTTGTATGTACACGTACATGTTTAATAATCCTATATAAGAGTCTGAGAAGCCATGGTAAAAATAATGGGCACAAACTGCAAGCAAAATGAGAAGTACAAACATGTTCCTATTGCGAACATGTACTGCCATGTGATACCTTTTCTTCAATCAAAGTTTTGCCAAGACCCTAGGATGTTTCTTACTAACTCTAACCAGCCTGACCATGCTTCAGGGCAGTTGGTACGTGTAGGTTCAGGTGTCTGATTGTTGTACAGAAGTAGGGAAGGATGTTCCTGGGGTCTCCGTGGAGATGATGCGGGGCACCTCACATGCTGCTCAGGTCGCTCAGGGTTTTGTCTAGCTCGTCACTGACACGTTTATATTTCTCCTTCTGCTCAAACAGCTCATCTGTAACGGAGGTGGTGAAGTGTTAGACTTGTGTTTACATGTTAGAACATGCAAGGATAACGTGACACATTCACACAGGCTGCACTTAACAACAGTTTAATACTGACATTCCTATGTTCCAATCACTCATGTTCCAACAACCCTAACCCTATATGATTGAACATAGGGATTGCAGAATATAGCGGTTTACAAAACTTAGGAATACTGCCCCCCCACTGAACACCACCACCAGACACACAACCGGACACGACAGGCTCTGCCTCCCAGGACTTCCCAATAAGGAATCATAACTAAGATTTGGACCAGGATGTTTCAGTTTCTTAGTTCTACTCCATAGATGAACAATATGGGAGCACTACTGACACAAAGTCTCTCACTAGTCTAATCCATGCACATACAGGAAGGAAACCTTTCCACAAGGCAGAGAGACGCAGTCATCAGGATAATTCTTCCTTCTTTTAAAAGACAGTCTTCAGCATCAGCATCATAAACATAGCAACTTGTCCGTGGGAAATGAGTACATCATATCAAGTGCATTCAAAGTTACACTGCACGATATGCTAGTAGATTAGCCAAGAACAGACGTTACCATGCACTATCACTGGGTATATCTTTAAAACCTGAACACTGAAAAAATCTTGTAACATGCAACATTGATTCTTCAACTGTTTGTGAGATTTAGCTTGTGAGGTATCTGTAAACACTGTCAGTGAATGAAGTGCATTTTTGTGACTCGTGATATGGATTTGTGAAATAAACACCTACCAGTAACTAAATTCAGGAATACTAAGACTGCTGGTAAAGCAAGCTACAGCAAATTTCTCTGTCTCTCTCTCTTGTAGCCCATGAATGATGATATCATTGTCAATTTAACCTTCTCCCCACTGCCTTATCCCATAACCAGTAACAATAGACTAATTTAGCAGGGAGAAGGTTAGTTATAAATTGTGTACTGTATACAGATCTAAAACTAAAAGTCACTGCCATGTCACAAACTGACTCAGTTGGAACTGATAACACTGGCCACAGACCTTATTTTCCATTGCTGCATCATCTAAGCCTTTTGAAAAGAATTTTGACAGAACAACCACTTGCACAGCTATCTACCACCATTACTACAGGGAACACTTTCCAACCACGTGACTCTGACCACCCCTGCCTTCAATGTCTTATGGTCCACATGTCCTATCCTCAACTTGTCCAGTACTCATTTTTGGACCACAGGACTTTGCTGCAGGGGTGTACAGGGTAGCATGCAATACTGAGGACGGCATGCAAAACGAGGACGGTGACCGTATATTGCACGTACCCCGCAATAGGTTGAGGTTGAAGGTTGTTGAGTCGCGGCTATTACAGGGCATTGAGATCATTGAGTGTTTGGTCCAGTTCGTCACAAACCAGCTTGTGTTTCTCTTTCTCTGTGAAGAGTTGGTCTAAAAAAAGGAAGGATACACAATGTGGAATGATCAGAGCAGATGGTTTCCATCTAGAAATAACCCATGCTGTGCCCGGGTGAATTCGTGGTTGCCGCAGCCAATAAAGTGACCAAACTCTTCATACAATTTCAGGTGAGAAGAAGCAGCTATAGTTGTGGTGGACAGATTTTATCCTTGGAGGACTGAAGGACAGTACCATCATGCATCTACATCAACCAAGGGCAGATTTTACCTTTGGAAGATTGGAGGACGGTAAAACCATGCATCTACTTTGACCTAAGGCCAGGGAAGTTCTATGGTGGTGGTTAAAGCAGTGATTGTGGCAAGGATACTGGACAACAGTGAGCCAATAGCTTTGCTGTCTACTAAGACATTCTTTCGTGCCGTGTGGCGTGCAGATCATATTGGAATGGAAAACCTACGTCTAGGAAATGTACAGAAATAGGACAATAGATAATCATCATCTGCTGCTCTCCAACACAACACATTGCTGTAGTGTGATGTATTGACATCATAATACAGGACTAACTAAATGTATCTGGTTATCAATGTTTTTTTTATCTGTTTTCAGCTTTAAATCATATGGAAGCCACACAGATATACCCACCTGGGCCAAGTGAAAAATACCTGCGCAGCACTGTCTAAAACGACAGATGATCAAACAATGATCAAGCACTGTAGTTTGATTAGGATAGTCAATGACAGTACAAGTTATAGGACTATTAGGTGACAGGGATTGGTCTCTTCTGCAAGTGTGTGTGTGTGTTGGGGTGGGTAGGTATCCCCCTTTTTTCACTACTAGATTGGAATACAGAGTGAAAGTTAAGTGTCCTGCTCCTGTTTGTTGTAACTAAACACTCTTTTGAGAGAAAGCTATGATGTGAAAAATTATTGACAGTTCCATGTACATGTACATTGGAAAGGATGAAGAGGGAGTGTAGAATCATTCACATTGGACAATCTTGTATTCTTGTTGTATCATCACACTAGCTGCAAGGTGAGGCATCTCCACACACACACAGTCTGAACTACATGTACCTTAGGCTGCAGAACAAGTCATCTATTGAACCATGCCATGACCCTAAGCCGTCTTCTTATTACAGTTGTAGCCTTGGATCCTAAAACCTCTCAAGAGCTTCCACTGACAGAATCACTGTTCCTTTAAGCAGTTAAAGATGCCTTTATCGATGGTTTTGAGATTTATGAAAATAGACAGAAATGAGAATAGATGGACTTAAAACAGGGTTTGACAACAATGTCCACAGATTTTTCAAGAGAGGCTAAAATACTGATACCTCTTCAGTCACACAGCACATTAAGACATAGAGATGTAACATGACCAATCAACAGGCTGCAATAGGAGAGCAGCAAGTGTGTGTAGCCAGGATAGAGCATGGGATATTCTTTTCTCCCACTGTCAATACTAGTCAAGACTCTGTGCACTGGTGTAGTTCATGAGATACACAAGATTTCATTCTTTGCTTAGAAGATTCAATTTCAAGGGTGGGATTTTCAGACTCTCGGAACACACTTAACGTGTTTATGTGAGAAACAGTTGTGTCTGTTCATTGCTACTTCATGAACTTGTACTACTGAATGTGTTGTCTTTTAACTGTCATGTATTCCTCCTTGACAGTCTGAAGGGTTCTTCTAAGACTTTCTAAAAACTTCTTCTAATACATTCACCCAGTTGCCATACTGAAATCACAACATGCTTCTTCCATACATAACACACAAGAACCACACATGTCTGTAGATATTTGCATAATCTATGCACAGATTTACAGGTAACGAAAAGAGAAAGGAAAAAGAAGCAAAGAACTTGATGTAACATGATTTATTGTGTACAGTGACAAAAGTGACATTTTCAAGAAAATATTGTTTTAGCATTTACAACATAACAGAAGAGCAAGAATTGTCTAAAGAACTGGAGGGGTACAGTGGAAGGACAGAGGAGAGATAGCAGAAAATAAAGCATGCCACACTCGTACAACAAATTCTAAACACATCTTATACCAAGTTTGTGTTGTCTTCGAAATAATTTTTTTTCAAAGGTCTCCCTTCCCCAGTTTTATAAGAACTGGTAACAAAAGAGTATCTGTTCCCTTACTAACAGCACTGATGTAAAACTGCAGGAAAGTGTTCCTCGGGTGTATTGCCACTCAACGTCCCTACTACAGCTCTTCAAAGGGACCATCGGAAAAAACCTAAGCAGAGAGCCATGTTTCTGAGACAGCACCTTTTGTTGGTGCCTCTGTCTTCCTAAGTAAGTACAATGTTGTGATGTAAGCATAAAGCCTCCCCCTTTTTTGCCCTCATTACTGTACATACATAGAAGATGATACTCTGACATTAACACCACTGGTGTGCCTTCAGAAACATGACCATAGTGCTCAAGGTACTTTCCGATCTTCCATCCACACTCAAAGCAAGAGAAGCACCTACATAGGGTATCTTAGCTAAAAACAAATTTCTTGGTAGTACTACTTGTGCTTGCACACCTAACTCTGCTGTGCTTACATACAAAGCCCAAGCTTTTGTTTTTGAAGAGGATAATGTATGCAAAGTCAGTTCAATTTGTCAGAAAGCAAACACTTTTTTCAATCTTCTAGAATTCTATGCTGTTGAGAGTGCATAGTCCTGGTCAGATACAACGCGTCAGAAAACAATGATGCGAGGGAGACAAATTGAACCAAATCTGACACACATCGCACCGCTCCTGACACGACACACATGACGACAAGAAACGGGAGGGGCTGAGAAAAGTTTTACATATTGTGGAGTTCGTTTAATGCTTGGTCCAATTCTTCGCTCACGCCCCTATATTTCTCCTTTTCTGCGTATAAGGCGTCTGTGGAGGGACACACAGAACACAAAAGATAGACAACCGTGCGAAGTCAGGCCTGTCCACACGTGGGAGTGTGGCAGTCCTGAACAAGTGGACTGCATGCACGTACAGGTCAGATGTACCTGCATGCACTCCGAGGAGAAAGAGAGAGAATGTACACCATAAACGAGGCCACAAACATGCTCTGGCTAGGTATGGAATATGTGGTGGTAGGGAAGAGGGTATACAGTAGCCAGGGCTTCAGTAAGTGGACATCTCGCTTAGTGTTTGATCCAGTTCCTCGCTCACGTTCTTGTACCGCTCTTTTGCGTCATACAGCGACTCTGATATGGGAAGAACAAGAATCATCACAGAGGTTGGATGGGCGTCTCTGTGTTAATGACACCCCTTGTTAAATTCCCTCCCGGACTACCTCTTTGGTTTGTTGGTTTGGGTTGTTTTCCCGGTTGCAAGTGACTGTACACTACAGAGGACGCAGGGATCTACCCCCGCGGCTCGGCATGCACATGCAGAAAAAGGTTTGGAAGGAGAACGGAGCAGTGCTAAAGTTGGAGGAGACACGGCACAGCAGGAGTGCCAGAAAGTAGGAAGGAAGCACATGAGATGTGCACCAAAGGTAGTACTAGCAAGAAACGGTGCAGAGTGATGGCTCGGGGCTTTTTACAGGGCTGTGAGGTCATTGAGGGTCTGGTCAAGCTCCTCGGAGATGCCCTTGTATTTGAGCTTCTCAGCATACAATTGATCTGGGATGCAAGAGAAAGAAAGGAGGAAAGAGAAAGACAGGAGGAAAAGAGATGAAGACAGGATATCACAGACTTAGGGAAAGACTAGTGCAGCTACAAGGTAAATGTAAAATGTTACCCTAGACAGAGAAGCTACATGATTAGGTACTACAGCACTGTTACAGAGAGCTTTGCCATTTGTTAAATCTTTGATCTTTTTCCCAGGAAACAGAAATATGCATTTTATCTCAAAGCATTGTAAGAAAAGCAATCTGAAAACTTTTCAGGATGTTTGCAAACTTATATAGCTGCTCAACCCTCTCTACTGACATCAGCCATAACAAATACAACCTTATAGTAGATGTATAGGTGAGACAACAGTAGAGAGAAAGTTAACACAGCTTTTCAGGCAGTGCTGTAGTACTACAGAAAGGTGGCAGCTATACAACATAGCCAATAACTATGTCTGAAGAGAGCTGTACTACAAGATGGTAAACCTAAAGAAGTGAAGATGTAAGGAAATGAATGTGCAGATGGAAGTGGGCACAGCACCCTCTAGCAGAAAAAGGAAGCATTGCACCCTTGGCGTCCCACCCCTTCCCAGCACAGAGAGATACATGAGCTGACAGTTAGCCGCCAGTGGGAGAAGCATCTTAGAAAGTGGAGAGATCGTTGAGAGTGTGGTCCAACTCTTCGCTGATGCCCTTGAATTTGAGCTTCTCGGCATAGAGTTCGTCTGGTGTAAAGGGAGGATAGAGGGAAGGTAGAAAAGGGTATGAAGTAAGGGGATGGAATAAGAGAAAGGAACATGCAAGAAGTAAAGAGGGAGGGGCAGGCCAGCAAACCTTGGCATGCTGTTATAACTGGTGTGCATCAAGAGTCACACCACTGACTAGCATGCTTAAACTCTGACTTTGTATTAATTGTCACTTAGAAGAACCCTCACAATGCACCTCAAGCAAACACCCAATCCAAATACCATAGTAGTTCAGTTGTTCTGGACACTGAGAGACTAAGTAGTATCTTTCTGTTCAGAACCATTAAAAGCTTATAATTGGTTATAAGGCTTTATCTTATGCTTGGCAGAATATCTTTTCGACATGATCAGTCTTCTTATTCACATATTCCCTCTCATTGTGAGCATGCTCATGCACACAGCAAAGAATAAAAGAAGAAAGAAGAAATTCCAAATAACAAAACGTGGATACAAAAACACATTCTTCAAACAAACAAGTATACTTCACCAAAATAAGTAGAAATACCACACACATAACACAACACAGCACAGCACACCAGGTCACAGGTAACAGTTAGGACAAGTCCATAAGATATGTAGTGTTAACAAACTCAGATTTAGTAGTGCTCTCAAACCATGTGGGTTATAAGTGGGGTGAAGAGATGTTGTGTACATGTCACATGGCTTACAGAGCCTTGGTACTGAGATTGTGTTTCTGTGTATCCTGTGAGAAAACTACAGTGTATCAATAGGAAGCAACAAGGTGGCCAGGCTTTCCTCATCAGTGGAAGTCTCACTAAACACTAGAGACAAAGAAATGAGTGAATGTGCAACTAACAACTACTAGACTACAGATAGGGACTGCTAATTACATACATGTATACTAGTATCTATCACATAAGGTAATTAAGTCAAGAATAAGATTCATCCATGAAAGAACATGTACCTAATATTGCATACCATCAAACATAACTATTCGAAATGCAGCACAACTACATTCTAGCATCCATTAAAGTCTACAGAGAGCTCCTTCCCTTTGCAAGCATTCTTCTATAATGATTTTTCACATGCCTTCTGGATGTACAAGCATACGAAACCCTATGAGTTTTCACATGCATTCAGAGCTTACAACATATACAATGAAACACCAGGAAAATACATCTCATTCACTGAACACCAAGAGACAAGTACAGTTTTTAACAGTCACATGGCTACACAGAAATAGTCTACTAACAAACACATTAACAGGTAAGAGATACAAACTACACAACCACAAACCTTACACTAGAATCACAGCACACATTGGATACAAAGACAGATGCACACTTAACCAACATCACAACACAACCCAAAATGTCTGTGGCATCAGCAGAGACAGACAGGCAGGGATATTTTGGAGGATTTTGGAGGCATCGCAAGGCGTCGTCGGAAAACAGGCCAACGTTTCGGGAATACTTACCTTCCAAGTCATCAATGTTCTTCTCCAACTTGGCCACAGACCTCTCGGCAAACTCAGCGCGAGTCTCAGCCTACAGACAGACACATACACAGAGACATTGACACAAAGAACCCCACCTTCAAGGTCATCCACGTTCTTCTCCAGCTTCGCAACTGTCCTCTCTGCGAATTCTGCACGGGTCTCAGCCTACATTGTGTGGATTATACAGAGACCACATTGATTCCATGGGGGCAAAATTTGATACTCTGAAACTTTCACAATACAGTCACAAGAACGGGGAAGATTTGCAACAAAAAGAAAAAAAAGATGTAGAACAATGATGAAAAAAGATGGAGAAGGATTTTTAGTCTGGTGGAAGAAAAAACAAAAATATGCTTCTTTCAAAAATATGCAAGAATTCATTCCTTTTGCAGGAAAAGCAATTGAAATGAAATTTAAAGACAGGTATGATCAGCCAATATAAGAAAAGCATAACAGCTATATTTTGAAATTTGAACTGAACAGAACAGGGTGAAACACAGCTGTGACGCAGAAGACACAGAAGAGAGTTACAGCTGACAGATAGGGGCAGTGCAGAAGACTCACAGAGAAGAATGAGACTGAAACAAAACAGCTCTCAAGAGAGGGCAGGTTGGCATGAAAACATACAATGGAGAAAGGCAAGAAAGTTACGTTAACGAAAACACAGGCAAAATAAACATGAGGACAGCACATTAACATAATGGTTCAACTTACTGGATAACTTATCAATGTATAATGTTTTACGTTACATCATTCTGGATAAAAATATGTGTTATTACATGAAAACTTGCAAGACTTGGTAGCAATGCAGGAAATTTTACAGTTACAGTTAAAAAGTTATGCATGTGGATTGCCATGGTCACATCACACATGTGAAGAAAGCGTACCTCCTTGAGCTTGGCTGACAGGTCACGGACCTGCTCCTCATAAGCCTCCTCCTTCTCTGAGGCCTGGAGAAAAGTTACAAAGGCGTCAATCATTTAAGGCTGCAGATGAATGGCAATGGCAGGAGATACAAACGTATCATGCCTAGTGTTGAAGCAACTATGCACATGTAGTCTTTGACATACTTTATTGATGCAAATTTTGATTTGTTTAACTCATTGCAAAGAATTAGCGATTTTACATATTTGTATGACTTTGTTTCATACAAGAACTACAAAACGTCTTTCTTGAGGATTGAAATCTGCAAAAAGTTGTGAATATTATCATTTCATACAGCTGTTTATTAACTATCAACTATAACATGCAATTTTCTGTCTCATCATTTGTGTCTACGTAATTTTTAAACGCAATACAAATGCAACACTAAAGTAAAACATTACATTTACAACACATGATATTATTCAGCAAAACAATGTAATACAGAATACCACAAACATGTAACAACCCCCCAAACATCCATGATAGACCTAACAAACAATGAGTTTATCATCAATCTAAGGATGTTAAAATGTGGAGAAATCATGGGAATACAAGGAGTCACTCACACGAGGAAACATTCACCCACATCCAACATTCAGACTCAGAGAGAAACAACACTGAAGTGCTGTGGAATACATGACTACTGGTAACCACATGTAGGACAAGGAAACATGGTACAACTATGAGTATCTACTTACCTCTGCTCTAACAGTGGTATCGCACAGGTTAGTGGGCTACAGAGAGGCTATTGCCTGGGCTAGGAATGTGGGAACGATTACCGTCATGCTCGAAGACATCCACCTTTAACTTTAGCCATGCAGAGTTGTAAGGGTAGTGTAGATATGTCAAGACTGGTATGCAGTGATTCATATTAGTTGAAGGAAGACATGCAAGCCTATATTTTACTCCCATAATACATGTCATGTATGTTAAGTAGATATCAATCCAATCATTATTTAGAGGAATTTTGTCATGCTAACATATGTGTCATGCTAACATATCAATATAATTTTCAATACAGACAACAATAATACTTCATTATTCCATTACTTCATTACTTTTCATCCATGATAAGTTATCAATCTCACAGTGCATTGAACTGAAACAGTTCTAAACATGCACAGGTTACTTCGGACACTGAGACAGATGCAAAACCGATGACATCACATTACACAGATACTGATGACATCACAGTGCATGGACTACACGGGGACCAATGACAAGACATCTCGCGTGCACAAACCTTGTCTGCAGCAGCTTCCAGGGATTTGAGTTGGTTTGTCACATTTTTCAACTCTTCCTCCAGTTCAGCTGCTTTACTGTGGAGACAAAACTGTTAATGTCTGACAGAGCTAGCCCTGGCTCTTATGATGGCAGGGTAGCAGGTAATTTTGGACAAGCCCGGCTGTCCTTCAGGACCTTAAGTAACTTACCTTGTTGCAGTGAGACTCTTATATTGCCCAAACGTTCAAACATTCACACAACAGACAGAAGGGGGGACAGAGGGGGCAGAGTGAGAGATAGAGGGAGCACTGGGAGGAAACATCAAATTCCAGTTCACATGGATCTTGGCTGTTTTCCTTTGCCCTCTACTCATTCTGCATGTTTCATATGGTTACTTCATTTCTGTACTATAATGAGATGCACCAGGAAAGCCTGAGATCCAGAAAACTGTAACTTGACTGTCATTTTCATGCGACTGGAGGGGGCGAGGAGGGGGGGGGGGTCCTAACGTACCTTTGTGGCCTGTGCCTCCATGGACTTCAGCTGGCCGGTCGTGGTTTTCAACTCATCCTCGAGCTCGCGGGCCTTACTGTACGATATCGGCCATGGGATCACAGAGAATGGGGAAGGGTGTCACAGAGACACAGGATGAGAGGAAAAAAAGAGAACAGAACAGAACGACAACAATGACAAGGTGACTGCTACAAGGGTAACCTAGAAGTGTCCCAGAATGTGGCAATGTAACACACACTTTGCAGTGTCAAGAAGTAAGGACTGCAGCAAATCCACCATACTTTTGATAACAAATTTTCATTATTTGTAAAAGTTAGTATGCCTACAGACAACCTAAAACTTTTAATCATTTTCATGTACATGTGGAGCTGCTTGAATATGGCGACCCTGTATGTGTTACACTGTGCACCTGGGATCAACAGAAAACATGGGAGAAGTGGTGTAACAATGAAGACAGATTGTACCACACGGTGACAGAAGAAGAACCTACTAAAACCCATGTTCTCCTGCTGACAGTTCTGGTCAGCTCCCTTACCTTTTCTACTGCGGCTTCTAGAGATTTTACGTTGTTGACAAGCGTTTTGATTTCCTCCTCAAGCTCGGCCCTCTGACTGCACCATGCGATGATCAAGCAACAACACATGCGGTTAGTGGTTAGCACAATCCTAACCTAACACACACGGACTAAGAGCATTAATTTCCATGCAGAAAAGTCCACTACAATACTAGTGCAGTGGAGTGTTACTAATCCAAATTACGGTATAAACTTGTACTATTACTGTGATACAGTATCTAGTACTTACTCCTTATGTACAACATAGAAAAGTTCACAATAAGAACTTCAAAATGCAAATTCTTTCTACCAAACCACAGCTACTGCATGCAAAGACTGCCTTAGAATGTTATACTTACTGACTGCACATATACAATATTGAAAATGAGATTTGAAGAAAATAAAGAAGCAAACACAGTCAGTACTCTGTCAAGTATAGATTGAAATTCCTTCTTGCATGCAGTCAGCAAAAAGTTAACAAATTCTTGCAGAATATACTGTATTTTTGCAATTGTTTTACTTTCCATGCAAATTCTAATCAGTGCCTTAAAAGATCTCAGACAATGTATTTTGAAATATCTATATCCAATAGTATTGCTACCTTTCTTTACTTCAACTTAAAATAACACAATGTAATAGTTTGCTAGAGAAGGCTGCAACTCTTTGTCTTAGCCAGCAGTGATTCTTACGTTTCTGCCAAGTCAGCACGCTCCTCAGCGCGCTCCAGGTCGCCCTCAGTGATCACCAGCTTACGGGCCACCTAGCGTTCAACAAAGGAACAACAGTCACGGTCAGGAGATCCACTGATACATGTGCATGGGTTAAGACAAAATTTCACTCCTTATAAAAGGTGGTTTACTGGTAACTTATATTTACTGAGGAGAAGGTATCAAAGGTGGATATTATATATCAAGCAAATTCTGACGTTGAAGAACAGGCTGGAAGGATCTCACCTCCTCATACTTGCGGTCAGCCTCCTCTGCAATCATCTTGGCCTCCCTCAGCTGCATGTCCAGCAGCTCCATCTGTCAACCAATCACATAAAGTCTAACACCCTGTCTGACCAATCACAGTCACTGTTACAGTTCTTTCTAGAAATAATCTGTTACTTGCTTTTTAGTTACATCATTTTTAATCATCTTTCTTCTTCTTTTTTCATTACAAAATGTAGTGGGTTTCTCAAAAAAGTTCTTCACTGGATTTTTGGGGGGCTTTTTGAACTCTTAGCTAAGCTTACACTCTCCCTCCTTGAACAAAAATAAAACGTGACAGAAGAGAAGTAAAAACCAAACATAATTGTCATGACTAAAATAAACAAAAATTTCATAAAAATAAAACAAATAGCAGTTCATGATAGAAAAAAAACTGAGACAGCTTGACAGGCAAACTTGAAAACATCAAGCTCACACAAGCACAAAGGAAATCAACCACTACAAACAAGAAGAAAATGTGGAGAAATGGAGGAGGGAAAGATGTTTGTCGCTAACCTTGTCCTCATCTGCACCCTGTCTGTTCTCCAGCACCTTCCTTGCTCTGTTTTACAAACACATGGGCAAAACAAAAGGCTAAGAATTAACAACTTGCTGACATTGACTATAACTTTTTAGTTTTCTCTGTTGTGGTTCCTGGAGTGTTCCATGGTCTCTGTGAAGAAGGTGTATTTTTTGTGGGGTTTAGGGTTGAAACTTGCTGAGCCACCTACCCGATCTTCGTCTGCTGCACCTCTGTTTTCCAATACCTTCCTTGCTCTGAAAAGGATAAAGTACATGCATGTATGTACTGTATGTAGTTAACACAGTTACCCCATCCCCACATGGAAATGCTTTGGGATACAGGAAACAAAGTTGTCTAGCATGTTGAAGTGATTTGTTTGTGGCCAACATGGTCAGGTTAAGAAATGGAGCCAAACAATGTTAACAGTACTATAGCTTTTTCTGTTTTGCTATATTCAATTAGGCAACTACTGTGCACAAATATTTTTCCATTATTGTCTTCTGTTCAGACTTTGAGGTAATCTTCAACTTTTGTCTTTGTCTATTTTGTAAAAAAGGTACATAAACATGTGCATACAAACATATAGATCAGATAGCCAATGTTGACACAGCATTTATCTGGTAAGATAAGACAAGGGACTGTCTGCTATGGAGGCAAAAGAACCAAAGTACTTTAAACGCTACAGCTAGATGGATGTGCAATATGCATTGGAACAACAACTCACAATTCTCTTCACTCTGTAAATTCAAGACGAAAATGCACAACACATAAACAGCCCAAAACGTGGTCCTCTAGAAGCCTACGAAGTGAACGCCCAACCAAAAACAAGCATTAAGAGCTCTGCAAACAAAGACACTATTTGTGAACAAACTAAAAAATTATACGGTAGGTGCTGAACAGAAACAAAAGAGATTGGCCATGGCAACACAGTCAATATGGTAAAATCTAATGTTCAATACTCAGGAACACATGGCATGAAGAATTGCACTGGACTGCTATCTACTTCACAAAAATAGTGCCTCAGTTACTTTAAGAGTGCTATGGTATGGATTTGTACAGGTATTAACGGTTGCTTGGTCTTTACTGTTAGTTAAAGGTTCTAAGCTATGTATGGACATGTCTTTAAGATGGTAGCAGGGCAGGGGCATACCTCTCGCTCTCGTCAGCAGCCTTCTCAGAGTCTGTCAGTTTCTCGACAGTGGAGTTCAGGCGCTCCTGGGCGCGGTCCAACTCCTCCTCTACCAGCTGGATACGCCTGTTCAGAGATGCGACTTCTGCCTCAGCCTGGGGAGGGCAGGGGGAACTGGTGTTAAACACACTTACAGGAAGTTCTTGACAGTACATCAATTCAGCAACAGTATTCAAACTTTTAAAGTGATACAGAAATACACAAAAGAGTCAATTCAAAGCAAATGTTGCTTTTTTTAGTTGCAATCTTTTCTTATAACTGCATTCAGCAATATTGTATTCATTGAATGATTAATTTTAGATCATTTTCATTGAAATGAAACAGTTAGACATGGCATTCCTTAGAAGTACTGGGAAATAATGAATAAAATGAACTATTCATAACTTCTGCTCTTGTCTATTCCCAAAATTTATTTATTACATACATATGCATAATTGCATTTGTCCCAAGTTAATAGCAAAACTGCTTTTGAAACCTACTTAGACTTTGCAACTATAGCAGATTCTTTTAATAATTCATAGTCTCAATTGAATTAAAAGAAAATGATCTCCTCCTTTTCAGCTTTAGGAACTCCTGGTAGGCTACATCAGAATTCATATAACACACTGTGTCTAGACAAGGACATTTTTCATTTACATGTACATAACCTTAAAAGAATATCTAACACATTCAATTGATTATGAGTCATGATGACAGTGTTCATCCCATCATGAATCATACCTGGCAGCTTTGTGAATAAAACCTGTGACCATTTACAGCTGCAGCTAATACAGAGATTTTCTTGTTAGTTTTACTTGTTGTTTCAAGCCCTTCTTCAAAACACACAAGGTCATGCCTCAATGCAGACAGTACATACATGTACTGCACCATTTGTCACTAAATTTGGCCCTTAAGTGACGAATCTCATTAGTGGAAAATTGCTTCAGCACCTGACTGGCATACCAAACTTGCCCTGTAGGATGCAATGCTTGGTAAACTTAGACAGGCGCTTGCATCAAAGACGCCTTTCAACAAAATGAGTTTACCACACGCAGCTTGAATATTAACAGATTTCGTAGTGGTTTTCTAAGCCACAATGCTTCGAGTATCAAAACTTTTGCAACTGTTGTGCATTTTGTTTTACAGAAGGGGTATACCATTACTTTAAAGTTTACGTTGTATGCTGGAATATTCTGCCACACATACATGTACATGATTGGTTGACCCACTGTCATGTTTCTTTGGTCTGGTTGCTATACCTTGCATATTTTTAACTGGTGTTTCTCTGCAACTTTCACTTGATACAAGAACATACTGTTGTGAAGTTATGATTTTATAATAAAACATCTGTTTCGTTGATTATGACAGGTGGCAATTATACTGTCCGCCTCCCAACTGTAGTTCTTTGATGCACCTTGTAGTAAAGGGGCATTTGTGACATGTTGTCCCTGCACCATATTAACCTTAGCTGGTCTTTAAATTAACCCAACATGGCCCCCTACATGTAGAAACAGCTGGGTACTTTCAAACCTTGGCTTGTACACCACTGTTTATTCCAACACATTTAGGAACTGATATGTTTTAAGAATGCCCATACCAGCTATCAACAAGAAAAAAAGTACATCATGCACTGGACACAAAAATGTTGGCTTATTTCCAGCTTCTTCAATTCAGAATCTTTATCCATCTAAAATCCTGGTACACAGACCTTGGGGATAACCTACTGACTGACCAGAGCTTCCCAACTGTCCCAAAAGGCCTTTGTACAAATGTACTGGGCATCATGGTGTTGACATAGGTCAAATGGCTAAGCCATGCACTGTGACATGCTGAAAAGCTCTTGTGTAGAACTCCTTCCAAACTTTTTCATATCAAAGTAGTCCTCTATTTGAAAAAATCCCACCTGGCTAGAGGAAACCCCTGAGGGTTTGTAACCACAAATATTGGATCTGTCTGAGGAAACTACAGCTGGATTACCTACATCACTCAGGAGCAAGGAATTTTGTAGATCCGTAGCAAATTCCTGGGGACTGACTAAGCCTACATTCCTCTAGTCCGAATGGCAAGTTGGCATGTTTGCACTGCGTTGTTCTCTACCAAGCCAAAAAAATTGTACCAAATTTTAAAAAGGGTTTTAAAGCAGCATGGCAGAGGAACTAGCATAGTCATAGTATACAATAGTATATCTATGTGCTAATTTCAAATAATAAAAGATGGAAGATGACCTGAGATTTAATATGTGCAAAATGTGACATTTTTTACTTGTTTGAGTGAGGCAATATGAGTAAGGATGGCAGCTTTGGCAGAACAAAAGAAAGGGAGAAGTGCTTTACAACGTTACACTGCCCATCAATAACTTCCTGCAAAGTGCAGAAGTTTGGCAAAATGTCAAGCATTCTTTGCAAGTGTGAGACCACATCTGTTGCACTGTGATACTTTTTCTTCGCTTTCAAGTGAGACCCATGTCTCGTGAGCTTTGGTAACATCTGGGACATTTTGAGGGTAAAAAACTAAAATCCAGTGAAACATTTGCCTATGTCTGGAGGATTGTGCATAATAAAACAAATTCTCAATCCTCTCTGGGTGGTTTTACCCTGGAATGTTTGGTTGGCAAACAGGTGCCATCTCACTAAACTCACTGATTGAAAAAATGTCAAAAAGGTCAAATGAAAATGGAAATGCTGTCCTTTTGTTTCAGTCCCATGAGATTATAAATGAAATGCGTTACCCTTTTTTTAAACCAGTAAATTTTGGGAATGGAAGAATACCTTGGGTGGTTGTTCTTCAGCATGCAAACAAGGAGATATGGTATGCACATCCTCTCCAAGCAGAGGATTGGAGGGGGCAAGGGGAAACCTAGTAATTCACGCCTACTTTCTGCCTTATTCAACCACCCAACGCTACTGGGCGAGTGTGCAAATTATCGATCAATAAGTGGCTATGAAAAAGATCAGACGTTATATACCAAAGATCTTTTTGGGGGGATTGGTTGCGACTTTTACGCTCCCTCCATAGCCAACGCCCAAAACAACACAGAAATGCCAACAAGAAAAGAAGGCAGTGGACGCGCCGTCTGAAATCTGACCCAGAGCGGTGTTCCTGTTCGGTGGGGTCTAACAATTACAGCGATTTACACGGCTATAGTGTGTGCTGGTTTGTGTTCACCTCCCGGTCTGTGGAGCTTTGTATAATCAGGTACAGACACAGATATAAAATTATGTCGGGCCGAGACACACGCTATGCTTGCGCGAGTCTACTGAAGGGGGAGGGGGGTAGAACTCGGTGCGCTATACTTGAGGTGACAGGCTGTTTGTTGACACATCTCACAGAGCCAAAAGGGTCAGTAAACAGATGAAAAGCTCATCCTTTTCGACTTTTACTTCGGTTGGAGATATACTAGACGAGGAAAGCTCGATCTCTACAGCTCTATGACCCCTTCTGGTGTTCCGGGCTGCCTTCGCGGTATGCATACAGGGCTCGGCTAGCGGTGCCCCTCGAAGGAAAGTGCTGGGACCTTACCGTATCTGCGCGTTCCCTCTCTTCTTTTAGCAATTTCTCCAGGTAGTCCGCTCTCTCTGAAGCCTGCTCGGCCTCGGACTTCAACGTCTGCATCTTTTTCTTGATCGCCTCCATTTTACTAGCGGGAAATTATAACGGTCCTGACGAAAATTAGCCGATCGCACACTCCAGTCTGAACGCTTCCACTTGGGTTACTGGCGGAGCGGAAGTGGGACAGGAACGCTTCCGCTCTAAATAGTTCCAAACCTTTTCCCAATAAATTCAACCTAATCTTCCTTTTGCAAAATTCTGTCACATCATATAGGCCCTATATGTTTTTCTTTCATAAATATTTAGTGATGATTAACTCATTGTCATGAAAAGAAAGGCGTGCGTAATGATATTGATGAGTAAAGCGGTCGACGGTGGCTGGCCTGGGACGTCCTAGCAATGTCGCCTATAGGGTGGGTCAATAAATTGAAGGTGTGTAAGGGGTTCCCGTATTTTCAACACAATCCCTCATTTATAGACGTATAACACCATTTTATCATTGTGCTGTTTAAGAGATGTTTTAACAAAATTATTTTAAGAAAATGCTCTCAAGCTTGGATGATTCTTTCAAAATCGTCAAGCACAGGATGGATCGATAAATCTCCATTTTCGTCCTCTAAAGGGCAGACTGCGGATTTTCCCGCTGTGTCTCCATATATGGAAGTGCACACCTCACTCGCTTGGCCCGGATCAGGTGTGTAAACGCCGGTATCCCCTTACGCGACTATGACATAATGCCGAACTACAATAGCATTGTGTGAAGGCCGTAATGCTCATGCACTTTGAAGCTCATGTCACTGAAACACTAGGTCATTTGTGCCGGACGAACATGACCGAAAGCGACGAATAAACTATATTCCGTGTTTTATTTCTGAGTCAGAGAGGGAAAATATAAACTTATTTCTCTTTCACTGCCTGATGTTCACTGTTAAAAATGTCATTACTGGGCGTATTTGGTGAAAGCGTTGTGAATTTTCACAAGTGGCCGTTAGGAAAAGGAACAATACTTGATTGTCAGGATAAACTCGGCTGAGTCTAGTATTTTATCTTTCGGCATCTTGTCCGTAAGTGTGTCAGGAATTTCACGGTTCGTCGCGTATGAATCGGTTCGCGAACAGGGGGTTAAAACTCACTCAGCTCTCCCCCTGGTTCCTAATCTGCCACCTACTGGCCAGCATCACGCCTACAGGTGAATGCCAAAATCGTTAAATCACAAAAAAATAGAACTTTTTCGAAATTTCAAATTTTTGTTCACTAAAGGTGATGTTGTTGTTGTTGTTTTGTTGCCTTATTCAATGTGTTGGTTTTGTCTCTCACAATATGAAAAGCCACTAATCTCGCTCACCGCTTGAGTCCGTTGAATCAGAAGATTGAATGAGAAACCAAAAAAAAACGTTTGTGAAATAGAACTTGCTTTTGCTTCGAGCGGGCGCTAGACGGCGCTAGAGGCAGCAGCATTCCTATCCTATCCTAACAGCATCATATTTCTTGCAAGCCTGGCACCGCCTTTCTTGACAAATCGATGACCTTCAACCCCGTCTTCTCCTCGACCCCGGCTGCCAGCATTTCTGTCATTCCTTTCCTATTTAGGTAACAGGCGTAATGGTATCCCCTCTTTGTGTGCATGCCTGGGTCAATTCAACCACGCAAACAGTTTATACAGGTCTGCCAAGCATCTTATGCTTTATGGGCGCTAATCTCAACAAACGTTATCACTGGCATCTGACCTGTCCTCCACAAGCAGAGGCTTCAGTGTTTACTTCGGACAGAAGTTTTGCCCTCGTCACCTGTCATTGCGAGGTCAACATGCTAAGTAAAACATCTATGTATACTAAAGCACTAGTGGCAAATTCGGCTGCATCACGCAGCGCCGACTAGTGAGGAAGGCGAAGATTGCATCTGCCTCCCCTAAGGGGCGTTGCCTTTCATGTTGCCAAGGCAACGTCATGCCCTTGGTGCCGACCTCTTGAGCACGGAACCCTAACGTTTACCGGGCGTTCCACGAGAAGAATGTTTGCATTTGCTGACGCGGTGTTCATGTCCCGAAAACCCGTTGTCAGACATCGTCTGGATTCCTCCGATTCTTAAGTTAGCTTGGTACAACTACATACGGCGTTTTGGAGTTTTGAGCTGTATACTTACGTTAACTGTTAACTTTTATTTATCGACGAGGATGGTGTAGTTGTCTAGGCAGCAAACGTAAATCTTCAACCCTTATCTCCCAGACAATCAAAAATACATCCCTGTCAATAAGCTATCGTGAAATGGTATTTGAAAATGGAGCTCAATTCAGTCTTTTGTTACTTTTTCTGTCCTTCAGTCGGGATTCCTTTGCAAATATTTCCTAAAATATTTCCTGTTCAAAAGAGATTGAATTTCATCGTCCGGTCTTTTTCTTGTTTTCAAGACACTGTATACTGCGTCGTGAGAGACTGTGTACTCTAAATGTAAACATATCTTATCTTCAGTCATGGGCTGCATTCCTTATATGGCCACGCGTTGTTAACATGTTACCTCCAGTGTTTTCCGAGAACACATTGACACTTCATGGCTCACATGGAACATTTGAAACAGCATTGACAAAATAGAACGGAAAGGTCAACATTTAGAGTTGTTTTAATGTCAACCGAGTTTCGAACAAAACCAGAACCAACTTAAACCGAGACAGAATGTCAAGCCCCCGATCATTTGGCGTTCTGTTTGAGGATATACGGACAGATCAAAATATCAGGGCTCATCGTTGAAGAATTTCACGTGTCTCTACTTGGAGGATACACCGGATCTGACCGGTAAGGAGTCCCGGACGGATGGAACTCTGCTGCCATGTGTGTCATCTCCTCACGAGCTAGAAATGTTAGATATTCTAATCACGAAATGTTGCTCATACCTGGGTCCATATTGGGTACATAACCAAACTCCCCTAATCCTCCACCGAAGTTCAAGTTCAGCCTCGCAAAGTCAATGGCACAGATATCAGGTTCCTGGGTTGGCCCCATACCAGAATATTTCTCTTGCCAAGGGAGTCTGGAGGGACTGATATACTTGGGAAAGTGCCATCGACTATCAGATGGTATTTATGGACAGCTCTCACCTGCCACCAGAACTTCGTTTGCAAAAAGCTAGACTCGAATTCTGGGATCTAGGTGGATGGCAATCTACTGTTTACATCTATCGCTTAACTAGTTAAGTATAGTTTCACCTCTTTCTGCATTGCTTCTACATGTTATGGAGTCAAGTTATATTTTATGAGTTAATAGCTACATCCCACCCTGGACGATGTCCTAAGTTTTTGACCAACTTACATCGGCGGCCTTCTTGGTAGCGGCCTCCAGCTGCTCGGTAGCATCCTTCAGGGACTCCTGGGCCTTGTCCAACTCATCCTCAACCATCCTGATCTTCTTGTTCAGATCGTTGATCTCATCTTCCAACTGTAGAAATCATGAAATCAAAATCATGACTCATGAGTATAATCAAAATGGCGGATAGGCTGCAGTTATCAGTGATGTCAAAATCATGCCAGTTAAAATCATTGTCAAAACTTGAGATTATAATGTGTACGCATACTGCGAATTATCAGTCGGTTGATCCAGTTTCCAAAAAGGAAATCATCATAATTGATATAATGATTTGGTAATCGTCATCATTGTAAACTGTATGCATACTTTGGTGTCAGTAAAATCACCGCAGTCGTCTTTATACTAGTAGTTTGATGCACTATGCATTCCCTCTCCTGGTTGAATGAATCATATTTATAACCTTTTATTCATCATGCATTCGGTCGTGCGGTAGTGAAATGCATGTCTAGTATTTCCTTTCTTCATTTCTTTGTAAGGTACTAAAAGTAATATGTGCAATGCCACGCGCTGCCATGTTGGGTCGGCATTCATTGAAGGCCCAAAACATGAAACAAGATTGTTTTAGTGTATCTTGTATAGAGTTAACAATGCAGGACACACTGTCACGTTAGTTCAATATTTTGTAAATCCAAACGTAACAAACCGGTTTCTACTTCAACAGGCATATCAGACAACACGCATGCGCAAGTTGATTTACCATATTTAGACATGACCAGTGGACCAGTTCCTCCGAGGCATCTCTTAGAGAAGTCTCAGTGGTGAGAATGTACACATATTTTTTCTGACATATCTCATCGATTTTCATTGTGTTTAGAAAATGTTTTCGCTTTCACTACAGCGTCTAGCTCTCTATCGCTACTACATTGAGAGCTACATTCTTCTGATTTTCCAGGCCCTGTGATTTTCGTTCTTCTTCAAATGTGCATATAGTGAAACCTGGATCACACTTTCCAACTCTATCGAAATGTCACTGCAGTCTCCGTGTCGACTGTAGAACTGTACCGTACTAACCCACCCTCTCAACAGATCTTTTTGCGACTTCTGGATCCGGATTAGGACACTGATGTTGTATGCATTTGTGGACCATGCCAAAAATAGACTTGCTGATTCCAATACTACCAATAGAATCGACTTGCGATATTCGATATGAAAGTGCCATGGCGAATGCCATTTTGCAGGGATTACACTTGGTAACTAACTCCTTGCCAAGTGAAAGTGAAATTTCCCCCAGTTTGTCCCATCTGAGTTCCCCGTGACGAAGGCTAATGTCCCCCAGCGAGGAAGAACAAACATCATCAGTTAAACCAATTTCACGGCTCACCATGACCCGCCAGGGAGAGGTCTGCTATTAAAAAGCCATTTAAACCTTTAAACTCTTTCTGCACGCGTTGGTTTATATTATATACTCTCTCCTAAGAGAGTTTTACTGTGTGATAAAACCTTGAACTATTTCGGGTTTGAAAGAATAAACCCGAAGGCCTTACATGCTATGTCCCTGTCCAGAGTGCCTGCATGCAGCTGGGTTGTATTTGATCGTTCAACATTGTACAATCATCACTGTAGCTGGCCGGATAAATTCCTGTGTCGAAGCACGAACAAAACTTCCTATTTCTCCCAACACTTGTCGTTCCAAGCCTTTCATGTCAGCCTCCCACCTCCCAACCCAAATAATCTCCGATACCGCGGCCATTTCCGTCTCGGCCTGGTCTCCATATACGGCCATGGCCCAGCTACCGCTAGCAAATTTTTGTCATACTGACATGAGCCCAGAAAAAGTCGACCTCGCGGAAACACCGAGCAGAAAAGAAAATACATCTGTATTTACAGCAAATGAAGCAGTAACTAACACCAGTTGGTTTCAATGTGAAGCTTTTCCGTGACGAGCTTTGCTACAAATGTTTAGGAAACGCGAATGTTGTTGAGCGATTCGCTCCGCCTGGCGCTCATTCAATGTCAAGCGATAGATACACAACCCAGGCACGTTTTCAAATCTACCCCAGTTTCTCAACAAACACGGGACGTGGAACCAATGAAGCTAAAACAACTAGTATAAAACTAATCGAGAGAACGTGTGATGCCGAAAGAAGGAACTGGTCCAAAGTCTCTGACATAGGGATGCACAAGAATGCACGGAATGTAGGGGGGGGGGTCTCCCCGGGACGGAGCGGCTAACGCTGCCCGACCCCTCGTCACGTCTCCGTACTCACTTTGACGTTCTTCTCCTGAGCATCCTTCATAGCCTGCTCGGCTTGCTCAGCCCTGTCCAGGGCGTTCTCCTTGTCGTTCTTCAACATCAACATCTTCTTCTTGATGGCATCCATGGTTGCTTGTTAGTCCTGGGCGTCCCACACAGAGAAGAGAACACAGGCTAGGACCGCGCTGAGAGGCGAGAGAGAGAGGAATAACCTTGCAGAGGAATGTGCGCAAGTCTTGCCACTCGTGCCCTCCCTTATGTCACGGGGACGGGATAAATATACCCCCACCGATGGGCCAAGCAATTCGCGGTTCGTCACGTGACCTGTCAGCTGCTTTATCATAAACGGAGGCGCCGCGCGCAGTGCTTTTCGACGAAAAGTTAGCTTTGGCTGCTGACGCAAGGCTGCTATCGGATTGCCCTGCAGGCCTGTGATTTGTCGCTTCCGAGTTACCCTGGCCTCCTTATTTGGCCGCGACACCAGAAATTTCACATGTGGCCAGCGTAATACAAGATCCAGGGCAGTTTAGTTGAGTGGTGCCATGTGTGCAAACAAGCGTGTCTTCATTTCTGTGCTTAGGACGTCCCACAGTAGCACTTTTTAATAACTAACCCTCCCCCTACATTGCATATCATCTATAGATAAACCCATAGCTACGGCATCCTTACATATAGTTAAATTGTTGTAGATATATATTTAGAAGAGTGGCCCTACAGACAAGTGCAAAGTCAGAAGCATATCCTTCCAAGTTCACCCATCCTGAACTGTTTGACGACGTTTGGAATCTTTATTTACCGTATCAAAATAAAGTAACTGAGCCGAGAGCTGACATCAACAGAAAACAAGCGGGGGGCGTCACGAACCAAGTATTTACATCGGAGGGAGGGGAGCACATCGTTATAGGAGGGGTTTGTCACTTGGGTCAAGCGTCTGAAGTGCGCTAGGTTACATGTTTCGTCTTCAGCGGTCTGTCATTCCACAAGAGGCCTGGCCGGCGTTTTGTTTGTGATATCTCAGAAAAGTCTGCTCGCCAGACCCGCGCGGTCTCACGTTGATTGACCGTGAATGGCTGTTTGGAATTGCCGAGAGAACGGAATGCCGGTCTGCTTGCCAAGGTGGTCAGTTTCTCATTGCCAAGTCTGCCAAGGCCGTACTTGGGATGCGAGGACGATATGAAACGTACGGCTGATAGCGTGGCCTACGTCATCTGGGAGTACGCAAGGCTCAACAACGTGAACAAGGACGACGAACATCGCCATGTCAAGTTTGTGTGAGGGGATTAGGGAAGGCAGGAGAGTGATCTCTGTTGTGACCGATGAACTGATAAAATCTTTCTCAGTGATCGATGTTTTGACTACCTAGTTTGGAGAATCGTAATTAGAGGATTTCATACAGCATCTTCTTTGATGCACGGCAGACCTGTTACACTTCCAGATGCAGAGAATGAAAACGTAACTCGAGGTAAGCCGTCATCAGAAAAAAGACAAATATTTTCCTAACTTTTCTTTATTGTCGTTAATATTTTCGGATTATATGTACACCTGTTATGTTGTTTGTGTAAATTTTTGGCAACAATTTGTCGACGTTTCTTAATAACAGCTAATGATATTTTGTACATATTCTGAATTACTGAATGTTGACTTATTACTCGTCATTTGTACTTCTACATACACACTTAGCGATTGAATAGCTGTCGGTAGCCTCGAGACAAGGCCGTATATATACTAGTACGTATTGGACACTCGTCATACTGTCTACGTACCTCTGTCCATTGTGAATTGTGATGACGCACTTTTAGACTCAAGAATTGTTTCAAGGAAAGCTAGGACGTTACAAAATTGTATATAAAATGATTGATTCCAATGCGTGTTTTAATTGCTGCGCCTTTTTAGTGTGTTGGACCGATTCGTATTGTCATGTGTCATTCGTTAATGTCTAGAGCATATATGCGTCATATCTTTATTATATATATAATACGTGCAATCTACTTTTCACGTAGGAATAGGGACAATGTGGTTTTTGTTGTGCATTAAAGAGATTTAGATGTTGGGGGTTCTTTCTAAGGATAGTTGCTGTGTCTAACCGCGGATATTGACGAATTTTAAAAAACTTGTACCTTGCAATTGTTCAACGTATTGACATCAAAAGTATTACATCATAGTTTTAACTATGATGTAATACTTTAAGCATTAATCATTGCCAGTACTTATATTAAAATGTAAGTACTGGCAATGATTTCAGAAACACTACATCCATCCAGAATGAAGTGCATAATTTAGTCATTGCAGGGACAAGCTTGGTATTTTTGCTAACTTCTTGTGAGTACTAATAGCGCGTAAACACCATTTTAACCATCCTTTTGCCAAAGAAAATGAATGAACCTTTATGGTGATTCAACAGCTGCCGGGATGAAGTCAGGAATTACGTCATCAACAGCGTCCGGTTGTTATGGTAACCGTTCACCCATCAAGGTAACGCAGAGGTCACATTTCCAAATCGGCAAAAAAGACGGCAAAGCACTAAAAAGTTGAAACAAACTAATAATGGGAACTATTTGCGTGTATTATTGATATAAATTGTCGATTTTTCGTTAATCAAAACAGTCCGGTCGAGCCCCAGTTTTGAAATGTGACCTCGGCATAACGCGTGATTTCAAAGGAGTACTGGTGGCGGGACGGATGCTATGTGACGTCGGGGTGACCTTTGCCTTGATATGTTTAGAGCCTCGCGATGATGTAAATGTCTATTTCTTGTACAATACCCTTTCTTTCATCGCAATTTCCGTTGCTTGGCAACAGCGTGACGTGTGAAATGATGCACCTGCAGCTGTTCTACCCGACTCGGCTGTGACGTCACGACATATCGGTCACGAAGGTAAACCGCGTAGATACGGTTACCAAGGCCCGGAGTACTGACACACTGACCCCTATCCTTGACATTATTTACAGGAATGTAGCTTACGTCAGAATAGCGTGTCGTTTGTAAAATAATCAACGTTATTGTTATGGTTCACTTCACTTGAATTTCTCGGCTTCGTCTTGATTTCATCATGGCATCTGTAGTTTCTTACAAAAAACAAAGGAACAAACATTTAGAGAAGACTTGAATCAATTAAGTAGTGTTTTAGACTTTTCAACCGGATAAGAATTAATAGTCAAACGTTTCAAGTGCCATTCAGTTGAAAAGTCTAAAACATTGGTTCAACTTTTCAACCCTGGATGACTAATCTCCACAAACGTACTTAGAGACGACGTTTTGAGACGTTGGTGATGACATTGATGATTTCTCATCTATCTCAGATCATCCGTGCATGACGCAGTGCTGTTTCTACCTCCATGTACGGTGTGTTTTCGGTGTGTTTGTTAGCTTACTTGTGTGTCCGCAGTTCAATGAGCTCTATTGCTCGACAACCGTACATGGTACAATGTATGACAGTAATACAGCAATACTACAAAAACTATCTTACAATTATTACTATTATCGATAACAATATATGAGTTATTTGAATCAGTAGATTCACAGGAAGTGAGGGGGAATGGTGTAACCACAGACTGACAGGAAGGTGGGACTGGAGGTCAACATGGTCTCCCGCAGGCTAGAAGGAAGTATTAAAGGTCGAATTGGGGGTCAAAATAGTCGCTCCATAGACTGGGAGGAAGTGACAGTGGAACATGCACAATAATGAATAAAATAAGAAATTTACAACTTTAAGTTCTTCACATTGGCGTGAAACATTCGATTTGTTGTTTGCCATCTAAGGTCATCAAGTTTAATTTCCGTATTCCAGCAGCCAACAGGTGCCGAGTGACTTATGGCCTGAAGCTTCTTCTGTTCCATCCGACCTTCCCACGGTGAAAACTCAAGTCCAGACCATACAGGTCGTGTTTGAGGCACAAACTTACAGCCAACTACGAGAGTCACAGCAAACCACAGGAGTTGATACCTAGGCACATCTGTGTTAGTGTGTAACAGTACCGTGCTTTGTAAGACCTTATGCAACATGTCTCTCCTTTTGGACTCACTAGATTATCATAACCATCTACATCTCCACTCTATAGCTAATGCTAGTAATGTTCCGCGATCTTCCCACCCATCTCGTCCCCAGGGGAGCCTGTGTGTATATGGGGAACGGGAGTGGCCCTATTTTGGGGGCGGTATCGCGGGTCCAGCGGCACTGATCCCAGATGAAGATACGACTTCACAGTAAGGAAATACCGCGTACAGAAGTAGATTCTACATTTTGCCTTACACAAAATACTGCTAAGGACCAGACGTAATGAATACACATTTAGCAAGCATTGACTAACTTGTAAAAGGCTACTTGTATCTGAATAGGGCTAGCACATTCCTTTCCATGTTTAGTTGAAAATTGCCACCATTCCCCCGCTATTTTTGACAGGGATCAATTTACATGATAGTGCTAAAATGCTAATCTAAATATAACTTGGCTAACAGGAGAGCAAATCCCGTCTGAGGTTGTATTCTCACATGTGTAGGTGCAGACGACAGGGATGTGGACTTGATCGTTGAGATTAGGGACTATTTTCTGTACTTTATGTTAGTCATTATGGGTGCGGACGGATAACGTTACGCTCCAACGAATGCCATATTTACATCATGTATGAAGTATGTCTGGATACCAAATAGCACTTGGTAGAAACTCAGCCAACGTCCTGTATTATTGAGTTCTGACGACTTGAACTGATTTTAATAGTGAAACTGAGTTTGAAGACTCCAAGTTAGTGCAACAAGTAACCTGCACTTCAAGGGAAGCTGGTCATGGTCTAAAAATGAATGACTTGCTATGGAGGACAAGGTCGACCAACACTTTTAAAATTCAATGGCGATTTCCCAAGTTCTCCAGCAAATGCTCCAGTAATTCACTCTGCATCCAGATATACAGAGTCTGGCTTGCAATCAGCACATTGTGTCTTCTATGCAATAAAAATAAAGTGAAAGTTCATCCAGCAATCATCAATTAAATTTTCAATATTTTGTCTCAATCTTCTTTTACAATTCAATTTTCTCTCTTAGTCTCAACTTGTTTGTACACTTGTCAGCTGACCATGTAGATGTGCTGACCCTATAGAATGGACATCCATGGTGTGTCACTGTCAGCCTCAAGTCCACATTACTCTACATACAAGACACCACAACACCTACTGTAGTTCAACATGTAGAGCAGAGATCTCTAAAAATGTTCCATACACAATTTTATTCCTTCTTTACAAAAAGTACATCCAATGTACAAAGTCATTTGTAGTCTTTTGCTCCATTCCATTTTCTTCCTCTCCTAGCATCCATGTCCACTCATGGAATGGGACAGACATGTACCTAATCATGTGGACTGCGGTCATACAAGCTTAACTTACTACACATACTAATATCAATAATATTAGTACACATGATGTCTATATGTTTAATACATGTTTATACCACTATATCGCCCCATCCGGTTTGTTGCCCATGGGTAATAGTAGATGTACCATGACTTTATAAGGACTTGAAAGATGTCATCTACTGCCTTCCCCCTATCAGTATACTCCTGTACTGCAACTTCTCAGCAGATAACATTTACTTTGTACCAAGTTAATTCATAGCCACTGAAACTTCTTTTCAAGTGGAATGAAACTGTTTGAAAGATGACATGATCCCACTGACTACTTTGTCAGTTTTTAGTCTTTACATCTGCCCAGCTGACTGAAGAACACATCAGCAGTTCTCCTGATCCAACAGTACATGTACACATCTGTGAGAGAAACGTCCCAGTTCTACACGGCCTTTCTGTGGTACTCTGGAGGAGCCACCTCGTAGTCAGCCACGTTGAAGAGGGATGAAGAATTCCGCTGGAGATATCTGTAGTAAGGAAACACAAATCACAAGGTTTCAGAATGACTGAATGACTGAAAGCCTTGAAATGTTTGCGGTGGTCTTATTTTCATGATTTACACCCTGACAGTTAAATAATAACACCACAATGTGATTTGTACTTCTACTGTAAAACAAATTGTTTCAAATGTGAATACAGCTCATACAGCAAGATTGAATCACAGTGAAAGTAAACTAAATGCCTTTAAAGTACATCTGCGTGAAATATATGCATATGTCATTCACATACATGTATACCAGTTGTATCGGGTTCTACAAGATGGTTGCGATGAGTCAAAAATACAAGACGTATGTTGTGCCTTTTTCTTAATATTTGTAACCTCTTGTGTTGCTACATGATGTGTTGCGTTGTTACATGGGTTTCAAGAGTCCTCACAAGTCTTATTTTATGTACCCATGTCACCACACACACACTCAGATGTTAATCTCTGAATGTACCCTGGTAACTTTGTCTGGTGTCACAAATAGAGCACAGTGACATCATGCCAAATACTTTCTTCACATAAAAGTACAAACACACGCCTCACAAACGCACTGCCTCAAGCGCACGCACACACACACGCATTTCTTCCGTGTTTAAGAACAGTCTGCTCCTCATTTTCTTCAAACAGAAGTTTTCTAAAGGCAAGCTGTCCCTAAGGAAACTTATCCTGCAACATGAGCCCACTACACTCCTACAGTACAGCATGGCTACATGTTAAGAGCTTCTAACAGCCTTTGATAAACAACAACTGTCTGGTATAAGCCAGACTGTCAACAGGGACGTCTACAGGAGAGAAATACACCACATGGTACAAACACTCTGCCAACTAACGCTGGGGCCATTCTGTAGAAAGTCTGCATGTTTTTGTGTTACTCAGCTGAATGAAATTCTGTTCATCTCATATATGTATATGGTACAGTCTTAAGGGAGGACCAGAATTTCTTCTTGACTGATTAAACCTACTGGAGGGATTGTCTCAAAAGGGAACAAGCTTCCTCAAAGGTTACAACAAACAGCCCTGAATGTTTACGTGTACTCCTTACATTTCCAAATAATAAAGTCTGTTGCAATTATAAAAGCATCGGCTAACTGTTTAGTGTAAGTCCTTAAAATCTCACATAGGCATCACTAGTCCACATTACATGTAGGTTAACATAAGAAATTCAATGTATTTGGTGGATAATCTTGCAAATCAAGACCAGTCAATCCCCCCAAAAAATTTTGAAGGTACAACTATGACGCTTCATAGTGATAGGTGCAACGTGGCTAAATATAGATGACTTGTTTTATACATCCTAATCTTCCAACCACTTATGTCCTGTAATAAAACACCACCAACACTAATTCATGTAGAAGGAGGTTGAATAGTTATCTAAGCTCGCAAAATTATTACCCCACAAATTTGGTTGAGTGTTTAGTCTACAGAAGGCCATCTGTAAAAAAAAAGTCTTACATTCTCCAGCATAAAACACTGCCAACAAGACAGCTGATGTGTCTGTGTTCTTTCTCAAAGACATTCTCCCTGGCTCTTCCCCCAGTCTGGTGAAGTCCAGGGGAATGCCAGGACTCACCCTTTCCCTTGGACTTTGGTAGGAATTTGAACAACACAAAGTCGGAGTCCTTCTGACAAATAGTCTTAAGGGCTTCCCTATGGAATTCAGGTATGTTGGGCCAAGTCTGATGACTGAGGTGGGGAACATGGAGGACAGCTGCAAGGGTAGCCAATCAGTTACAATGGGACAAATCATTTATTTTCTGGGAGGGGGGGTCAATCAGTCAAACATAAGGGGCAAACCATTTATTGAGGGGGATGGGAGGAAGTGAGACTGGTGTGAGGGTTCATCCATTTATCACCTGGAGGATGGATGGAAGTTTGGACAGATACATTTTTGGACATGCAGGTTAGGGACTGTGAATACTGGAGAAGCATTTTCTTTGAGTATCATGGAGAAAGATGACCAAGTCAGGGCTTATTATGACTAGGGATGGATGGAGAAAAGATGCAGACTTTGCGTGTAATGTGTGGTGCATGATACACAGGCAATTTTCTGCCTGTGTTCCATGTGTATTGTGTTGTTGCAATCCAAATCAACTTGAATATGTTGAGTTGTACATGTGCAGGCTGGAGAAATGAAACTCACTTTAAGAAGTCGTGTAGATGTGTGAGCAGCAGTTGTACACTCTTCTCATCCAGAGGTGTGTAGGCCAGCATGCTCCCCAGTTTCACTGCAAGGGAACACAGCAGAGATCAACAACCCACTTTAGGACACTCTTTACTTGTCATGTGCACAAAAAACTACTATGAAGAAAACCATAACACTTACTGATATTTACTCTGACAAAAAGAGTAAAGAATATAAACACATGTTATTGACAATACAAATACTTGAAGAACATATCATCATAGTTTTATGCTGGAGACAGCTGTGATGAGAACACAGCACTTCTTTTCTGACATTAACCAGATGGAAGTCTAAGTTTGTCCCAGTTGTCAGAATATGCATCATTACTGTGATTTTTCCACCAGTTTAAATATATATTTGGCTTCATATCTGTGATGGGGTAAGGCAGCAGGGAGAAGGTTACCGGGTATACTGTGTCCAATTTAGGCAGTTCTAGCAAAAAGGAAAAGGGATGGGTGACTTAACAATTTGGACATTGGAAATTTGTTTATTTATCTTTATCTTCAACAGTGCACACACCTGTTCTTTCAAGTTAGTCAAACACATTCACATCATACAGGGTCTCATATTACTGGAATATCATCTTATACATATAAACGTTCTAATGTGGTATATACATAATCATTCCCTTATCTTATATACACCTTCATCCAACACAAACATGGCAAACAGAGATGGCATACATCACCCGCTTTACCTCACAACCTGTATAACATTCAGGTATAAATATATACTAAGCATTCCTAACTTTAAGTCAAGTTAAGTTAATGAGAGTGTTTATGGGATGTGAAGTTGGTTGAGTGGGGAAGGGTTCAAGCAAATCAAGCGGGACAGATGCCCATATAAGGGAACCTGAACTTGGAAACAGCACAAATGTGTCTGGTGTCAGGTCCTGTCGGGTCTGTTCTGTGTTAGCTAGATGTAGGTGGTGCTCCCCAGTGCCCTATACCTGTACATGGCATGTTTCCAAATCTGATCACAAGGGCAAGCACAGCCCTGCATTGGGCTCATTAACTGATAGACGTGTGCTTCCACATGTTTTTATTTTCAGGGATGGACCCTAAGGCACAGAAGGATGGCAAAAGGAGAAGAGTTTACAAACTGTGCCAAGTGCCATGAAAAAACATCTAGCTTTTTCAACATTAAAAAGAAGATTTTATATAATTTTTCATGAGATAATCATCAGTACAACAAGATCCCACCCCATCCCAAAAAAAGAGCAGTGACTTACATATGTGTCAAGGAGAGTCTCTTTATAAGTAAACCAAACAGTAAAAATGTCAACACCGATGTTTACCCTGACCTGGGTGACAAACTGTAGCACACCAACTTTGTACATGGGCAACAACCCCTACAAATATGTCTGCTAGCTCTTGCCATGTGCCAGTTTACAACAACACTGGCCCACATTCCTAAGTGCTGAATCGACCTCAACTTGACCTTGACGTGTGGCAGGTCAAGGTCGTGGCATCCTCTTCAGAGGTTGAGGGAGACGCTAGTTCTCTGTCAGTGGGCAAATCTACCATCTTTCTTGGAATAGTTGAAGAGGTGACAATTTTTTTAAAGATTCCATTTTAATTCTTTAAACGAGATCACATTTTAACCTTCTCCCTATGTCTAACTCCATAACCAATAGTCAAATTGGTAGCTTGAACTTTAAGCTACATCAGTGTGCTTAAAGATAAAAATAAAACTCTTCTCCCTATTGACAGACTGACTTACCAAACAGTCTCAGTAAGTGGGGTGCCCCATATATCTGAGCCATAGGTGTGTCAGGGTGGTCTGCCAGGATCTGGAACAACAGGAAACAGGACAAATTTACAATTACATGTATATGCAACATACAGTACATGTTTTAAACATTGGTTTCACAGAGACAAGCAAAAAAATTCTACTGGGAAACATGCAGGGGTACAAAAGTCTGAGCATAGACATCCTTGCCTGAGACAAAACAAAGGGGACATTTTAGATCAAGTATTTCCATCTGTTCAAGGGTTTGTATCGAAAAGTTTGAGACATTCTCCCTATGCTGACCTCAGCATACTGCGGTCTCTCAAACTTGTAGAGAAGCTGTGTGCCCAGCATGACATTGAAGTACTCCTTGATTCCTGCTGTCACCTCCAGTATGGCACTCTCCCTGTGATGACAAAATCACACAACTTAACACAATGGCAACTTCAATAATTCTGCCTAGTTGCAAACTGATCGTACTGCTACTTGTTTCTAGGGCCCTTTTGAAAACTTTTCTGACATTGTTCTTGATACAGTACAATCTTCATGCAGCTTTAAAAACTTTTCTTACAAATTCATTGCATTGACCCAAAATTTAGACCAGTATCACACTGCAACAGTATTACAAAATGACCCTTGTAACAGATTTCTGAGTTCTTGTTTTCCTAAACTCTCAAGTCACCGGGTACAAAACTGACAATGATCAAAAGGCATTCACTGAGATTTAAAGTACAGAGAGGAAGATAATCTATGGAATGAGAGTTTTAAGTCTTCACAAATTGAACAGTATGACAACCCAAAGTAACTGACTGGTTCGGAGAGAGTCCTTTGGACTTTTTCTGCTGCAGATAGTCATCCAGGATCTTCTCCACGTTGGTTTTGGCTGGCAGATGGAACAACTATTAATCAGGAACAAGAAGTAACATTGATCAGATGGCTGGAGCACATTGAACATGCTAAAATGATTTACTGAAGAATGAATCACTACATATGGATGAAAAAATGTCTCCGCATATAATTCAGACATCTGCCATATTTCTTCAGTGTTGTGCAGGGAAAGAGACAACCAGCGCTGTACAGCATGTGAAAGCATGAAAGCCAAGGATGAAGTGGAATGACTTTTCACCTTTACCTGTTTCTGCCTGGTGATGAGGTCCCAGTCGTCCACCAGCCACGGCTTCAGCTCATCAGGAATCTTCACCTTGATCTCCACCCTGGTCATGAAGGTTTCCTCCTGATCAGGCAAAACAATATTGTCAAGTATAGGTATAAATGAGAAAGTGATCTTGATACAAACAAGCTCGCTCTTGCACTGGTTGTGACAGAAAAGATTCTATGTACAGTAGTTATAGGTTCATTGTACTGGGAAAATTTCCCTCCCTCTTTGTGACAAATACAATAAACAGTGGACCACGACTTAACGTCCCACCCTGGACCCTTTCCAGTAGAGTACATGTCAGGTAAGCGACAACCGCTGGCATTTCAAGCTACAACCTCTTGGTCCAGAACCAAGGTTACTAACCACTGGATATTCTTCATTGTATTTTTCGTACATACAAAGTGTATATACCGATAATGCAAGATATGATCAGCCTTTCAGAGCAACTTGTTTCAGATACAGCTCCATAACTTACCGCTTCTACTGTAGGGTCAGCTCGCACTCTCTTCTTCCGAGGAGGTTCTGTGATCGGGGTCTGTTCAGCAGCTGGGAGGGGGGCAAGGATGGCAATGCAACCATCAGGAAATTCCAAAAAGCATAAATGAAAGATACTGGTAGACAAATAACATTTTTGGCCAATCCTTCACTTTATGTTTTTACAATTTGGGAAAGAAAACACCATTTTCCTTGTACATGTATATTGAAAATGGTCTTCAAAATCATGTTAAGAAATGACAAATTAGGATACAGACAATACAGCCGTGGACATACCCTCACCTCTCTTCGCCTGTTGTTTCTCCACAGATGGGGTGGACGACCGGCTGCCCTCCCCCTTCTCACCCCCCTCAGGCGGGCCCTGGCCCCGCGGCTTCACCTTGGACTGCTTCTTAACTTTTCTGAAAATCAAAAACGTAACAGTCATTCTAAAAACCCACTACTAAGTATTTCACTTGAAACTCCAGGAAGAGGGCAGAAAACTGGCTTCCCCGTTAACTGCTGAACAGATCCAACAGACCTTCCCAGCAGGCAGTGCAGGGATTACCCCGTTCACTGATGAACAAGCCCAACAGACCTTCCCAGCAGGCTGTGCAGCTGTGACAAGGAAGAAAACTTGTGTCACACCTTGTGTGTGTTGCAAAGAAAGAGTTGAGTACTACATGTTCCAACACCATGAATGACCAGAGAAGTAGCAAACCTGCTCAGCACCACCGCAATCAATAAAACACCTGTAAGAGCAAGAGAGGACTTTTTTGTGGAGGAGGGAGGGGGTTGAGTCCCAGAATGCCACCTTCCCTGCCACCATGAAGTGTTACCGTACCTTGGGGGAGGAGGGGGTAACACAGACACATCGTCAGTGCCTAACTTCCTCAGAGTCAGGGGTTGTATCACACTGTACAGACACACACACCTTCCATCATCAACAACAGTAACAGAAAGTCATGTACATCAATGAAGTTAGGAAGTCATGTAACACCAATCTTGATAAACAGGAAAATTAGGACTTCCTGAAACTATCTGATACCAACAATCTCCTTATATGTTATGTCCAGTATGTTATGAAGTTTATGAGCTAATCAAAGATATCATATTGGAGTGGGAAGCATGGTCTTTGCTGTTTGCAACTTTATGGTAAATTCCCATTTGTACCATTCACCGAGCCTTATTATAAGTTATGAAAAATATACTGATAACACAACATACAAGAGGAAAGCATGCTGTCTTAATTGACATTTCAGACTTTACCATCCCTTAAGAAACAAGTCGTTTGAGACAAGCATGTCACACCAAATGAACAAAGAGTAAGAATTTATTTATCTATGATAAACTCAAAAACAAGTTCTCGATGACCTACTGAGTTCAAAGTGACCAACGTTAAATGTACAAGTTTAAAACCTTGACTTACGCCTGTGCTTCTCTAAGTTCCTTCTGTTTGCCCTGGTTGGCATCGCTGAACTTTAACACACGGCTCTCCGGTACCCACTCATCCCAGCTGCAACAACAAAACACAACAACAGTGAATACATTTTCCTCTCTTCTCACATTTCATGATTTATATTCAACATCAACATTTTCTCAAAAAGAATTATGTGAAAGGGTTGGAAGGACCTTTATAGATTTAGAAGATGGAAATTGTTCTTAGAAATGTATCAGCTCTTTCTGGTAGGTCATGAGCAAAACAAATGGAGGACAATGTACACACATGTATATCTGACATAAGAAATAACAGCTTTCAGTGCCATGTACAATGAATAAATTAACATATCAATATAGATAATAACAGTTAAAGATTACAGTCAGACAGTTCTCTGTTTTGATTAATGTTGCCACCATATTTTGCAATCAAATAACATAAAAATAGCTAAACCATCACTGCTGTTGGGATAAAACAATGTCTAATCTTGATATTACAATAATATTTACCAGAAAAAGATGATTACTTGTATTTACAGCATGATGTAACATTGTCCTCCTTCCCTTTCACCAATCGGGATGACATTGAACCAAAACGTCTGTCTGTGTGGGGCCGTGACATTAGCTGACTCCAGTTTACATTTCAGACAAGTCCACTTCCACTTGTGGGGGGTATACAGTCTGTAATCAGCTGGACCCCTCTCATACCATATTCATCCAATGTTTATTCAGGCTGTTAAAAATACTTTAGGAATATTTTAGCATCTTTGCCTGTCGAGGGCCTACACAGTTTGAGTTTAAAAGAGTGATTCTCCAATGCCCCACTGCGGAACAGTGTGGCCCGCCACTGCTGATATGCAGTTCTGGAGTACAAGAATAACTTAGACACACTGACAGTCTGTTGACCCCACATGTACATTTACACACAAAGTCTATACTGTATTACAATTTTCAAAGCCTTGACAGCAGTAGAGTTGGTAGAGAGTTTACAAACACTGCAGCTATGAAGATAAACAATATATCTATGGAGAAATAAAAACTAGAGGAGCAATATTCATGTTTGTGGTTGAGAACAGCTGTTGTTCAAGCCAAAAATGGAGACAAAATTCACTTAATGGACATTCATTACTTGTGCTAGGGAATGTTTCCAATGCAAACAAGAAATGTCAGACATGTCAGACATCCAGGAAATATTTGGGATTTTTTGTGACCTTCAAGTTCACTGTATTTCTTGTATCTGACCTTTAGACCTGTAATCCTGCCTGTCAATCTTCCCTGCCCACGTGCTGTCAACTTGACAAGTTCAATCACTTTCCTGTGTCTGATCTCTTGACCTAGTGTCATTCTTCCTGAGATTCTTCCCCCACCCACATCAACCTACTCTGTCCGGACATACAAACATGCATACAGACAAACCCAACCAACATAAAACTTCTGTACCCGGAAGTAACATCTACAGACTGACACAGGACTTACTTCTTGTTCCAGCCGCTGTAGTGGATGAAGTATCGGACTTGTTTGTCCTTGGCCTGTCCTTTGGAAGGATGCTGTACCTCCAGTACCTTGGCCTCGTACAGCAGTGGCCCGTGAAAACACAGCACCTTCTCATCTACATGTGTACAGGACATACAACTAAATACACGAAGGACAAGGTACATGTTGACATGCAGATATCAAAACCAATATGGTCATATAAGTATTCTAACATGCAGCAAATTACATTGACTGAAAAAGATAAGCAATCATCCTCTATTGACAAAATGAGGTCAAGGCTCAAAAACATACTAGTAATTATCTTAACCTGGCCAATGTAAGGGAGAGGGTTTTGGGGGAAATACTTTGTACCTGAGATTCACTATAAACATCAGAATACTGCCTGGCTTACCTGGCTTGTGTTATAGAGAAGGGCATTTACTTTTTTTTATTATAGGGCTATACACTACAGATACAGAGAGGGCAATACGCAACCAGTACCAAGCAAACATTGATTCAGGATTCCACATTTAGCCCCTGGGTCTATGACTGAATAATTACTCCCATGTGGGCCAGCAGCAGGACTGCTCAGGAATTACATCAGAGAGGGTAGAGTACTTTTGTTACCCCTTGCTGGCGGGGAGCGAAGTTTTTGGAGCAAACCAGGCTGGATTTCAGGCTAGCTGTTTCAGTCCTAGTCCTATTCATGTAATCTGTATCCTTGAAGTGGCCTCTGGGGTCTTTTTACATAATGACCATTGAATAAAAAAGAGCTACCTGTACCTACCTATTGTATATTTGCCGACTGACTGTGGGGCTCTCTCCTGCGCTCGTCCTTCTGCCCCTGGACGGACTTTTGCTGCTTGGGAGAAATGCATTAAAATGCATGTTGAAACTTGTTGAAACATCTGGTCATCAACAGCAGTGCTTAATAACAAGTTACTATAAATATAATTCACTTAATGTTCAAAAGTGTATCAAATGTAGCAAAAGTTCAATGTCTGAGAAAAATGGAGGTGTTCACAGAATTATATATTCACAGTGGTGACAGGTGCATGAAAAATAAAGTCCAGGAATTATTTATTAACGTTAACTGTAACGTTAATGATAAGTTCCCGGAACAGCAGTGACAGTGAAAACAGGTAACATAAAAGTACAGTGAAAAAATCAGGAATTACACTAACTTCTACAAAATGAAGATGATTTTAGTCTCCTTTGCAGACTTGATCGGTGGTGGCATAATTTTTGGGGGGAGAGCACTGATACACAATTATTTTTACACGGATTATGGCTGAGAGTTTTGCCACAGAGGGACTGTAATAAACCAGGAGGAGACAGTAGAAACAGACCCCTGATCCCGGGCGGGGTTCGAACCCACGACCTCCCGGGCACCAGTCCGACGCTCTAACCACTCGGCCAAAAAGGTCAAGACCCATTGGCTGGGTCAGTTGGTAGCGCCTATAAACCCCCAACCCCTTTTTGGGTCTAGACCTTTTCGGCCGAGTGGTTAGAGCGTCGGACTGGTGCCCGGGAGGTCGTGGGTTCGAACCCCGGCCCGGGATCAGGGGTCTGTTTCTACTGTCTCCTCCTGGTTTATTACAGGACTTATGCTGAAGAAGGAACTGCGCTGCCCCAACATGTCTGCTTTTACTTGGCGCGTTTGTTGGGTCGGCTTAACTCCCTCTGTGGCAGAAATCTCTCCCATGTGAAAATTTACTTACCTGCGCTTTAACGTGTTCAAGTGTAAAGGAGGCTTTAAAATTTGTGCAAGATATCTTTGCAGCATGCATTTATTTATCAACATACTTATTGAGAGTCAGGGCAGCATTGCACTGAGCCATGGTGAGCAAGACTAGACCAGAAGTTACATAATTGTTTTTCCTTGCCCACAACGACTTGACGAAGTTTGTAAGGGCTGTTAAAACAGATAGCTACAAGAAAAAACTTTCAACGACCACGGCTTATTTTGTGATCATGAGTTTTGCACTCGTTCAGTGCTTCTCAACACCGGGGACGTCGACGCAGACTGTAACCAATAGAGAATTTGTCTTGTACATGCTTCTCAAAGTTGAGGTTATACTTCAAACATGACTGAGGATTCCATTTTACTGTTTTCTCCCATTTACAAAGGTAGTGCATTTAGGGAGGCAATATATCGTTGCCCCCCTCCCCACAAAAGTATCAACAAAGCGCCGCTTTGGACGTCCCAATTTCTCAACGAAATATCTGTCGCACGTGGACACAAAAAATGTGCTTGAATACAAAACTGTTCATTTTGTATAAATGGAGCCTACTTCCTTTCTGCAGGTAAAGTAACGTGCTATAAAACCACAAAATGCATCACTTACTTTCCTGAAATTTCGCCTTCGGTGGCGCCATTTTGCTTTCAATGATCACGTGGTGACTGAGCTGAAAGGATTGGTAAATACAAAAGCGCCGCCTATGAAAGACCGTGAGAACCGCAATGCGATTTTGCCCTTACTTTACCAATACTAGTATGAAACGTTACTTTTAGTATTACACGTATAGACCCCGAACACCCCCATGAAACTCCTTCCTCTTCGCCCCCGCCGTTCTGCTTCGCCCCCGCCCCGTTCTGCTTCGCCCCCGCAAAAAATCTGCTTCGCCCCCGTCGTTCCTCTACGCCCCCGGCGCAATTCTGCTTTGCCCCCGTCCTTCTGCTTAGCCCCCAATGGCGGCACAGCTCACAGTCGACACGAAAATCGTCTGCAAAATAACAATAAAGGCTGTGCCGCCAAATTTAAAGTAGCCCATGCTCCGACAAACATTCTGGACCACCTTTCTGCCAAGTGGCGTTGCACAAATCCTTCCCATTCAAAAGTTTACCCCTTCCTCACGGCCCGTCAGTGGTTCTTACGTTTATAAGAGGGTCTGCATGCTCTTTTCCGTAAGGCGTAGGCGGGCCTTTTTAATTTCCCGTAATTCGTAGGGAAGTTATTTTATTCACCGTAATTCGTAGTGAGGAGGCGAAAATTTCCCGTAAAGCGTAGCCAGCGCATTTCACGTAAAGCGTAATCGAGCCTAAAAATTCCCCGTAAATCGTAGTCTGGACTCCCATTTTTCGTAAGCCGTAGCCGACGAACCAGCCAACCAGCGGATGACCTGTTGGGTCAACGTCGTACCCAGGATTTCTATTGTCTAATCTGGACACGAGAGCACCCATGACATCAGTGGAGTTCTGTGCTATTATTGGTCAGCATGGTCAGTATTGGCCGGGTGGCGGGAGCACATCTGGAGTCAATCTCAGTCACATCTTCATCTTGTCTGTCCCTTTCTTGCCTGTCCCATCTGTGTCCATGTGTGCGGTACAATCCCACCATGGCTCACGCGACGCCCGTGATTGTGCGCATTTTTAAAATGCACGTAGCCAGGGGTGTTCGGGGGTTCGGAGGCTCAAAGCCCCACAAGGCTCAAAGGTCCACTTTTTGGTCCACTTTTTTATGTAAAGGTCCACTTTTTTGGTCCACTTTTTATGTAAAGGTCCACTTTTTTGGTCCACTTTTTTATGTAAAGGTCCACTTTTTGGTCCACTTTTTATGTTATGGTCCACTTTTTGGTCCTACTTTTTA